TCATGATCAATTATTTAACTTTTTAGGTATTATCTATGAGTACATAACACAATTTGGCCTAAGCCAATGGGTGCTGTGGGTGCTTCGGCACCCATACCTCAAACGTAAATCCGCAACATCCTGTAGGTCTTGTGACTTTCTTGTTAACTCATTATAACAGTTAAAGGAAGAAGCAACAACAACAACATCAGTCCAGTGTGGTTCCACAAGTAGGGTCTGGAAAGGGTAAGATGTACGCAGCCTTACCCCTACCCTGGGAGGGCAGAGAGACTGTTTCCGATAGACCCTCGGCTAAAGAAGGTGACCCTGGTAGCAAGTAATAGCAAAACAATAATTAGAAAACTAAATCGGAGATAGCAACAGATAATATGAAAGGGATACTGATAACAAGTAGCAGCAAGATAACATATTTAGAAATTCCAAGGCAGCAGACGAGAATATGAACGAAGTACTGCTAGCAAACTACGGAATTACCAATGGCAAGTAACAATGAAACGAGACATGCGAATATAGAAAACTAAGGAAAAAAAGGGTACTGAACTAGCGCTAATACTATCGAGCTAGAGAAGACAAAGGGAGATGCACGACTACCTACTAACCTTCTACCCTAATCTTCAACCTCCACACCCTTCTATCTAGAGTCATGTCCTCGGTTAGCTCAAGTAGCGCCATGTCCCACCTGATCACCTCTCCCCGAGACTTCTTTGGCCTACCTCTACCCCTCCTCTCACCTCCTAAGGCCAACCTCTCACTTCTCCTGACAGGGGCATCTACGCTTCTCCTCTTAACATGCTCGAACCATTTCAACCTTGCCTCACGCATCTTTGCCTCCACAGGGGCCACCCCCATCTTGTCTCGAATAACTTCATTCCTAATTCTATCCAATCCAGTATGCCCACACATCCATCTCAACATCCTCATTTCCGCTACCTTCATCTGCTGGACATGAGAGGTTTTGACTGGCCAACACTCTGCCCCATACAACATAGTCGGTCTAACAACTACCTTGTAGAACTTACACTTAAGTCTCAACGGCACATTCTTATCACACAAGACACCGGAAGCAAGCCTCCACTTCATCCACCCTGCTCTGATACGGTATGTGACATCCTCATCTATCTCCCCATCCTTCTGAATTATAGATCCCAGATACTTGAAAATCTCTCTCCTGGAAATGACTTGCGTATCGAGTTTCACATCCCCGTCCGCCTCCTGGGTAACAACGCTAAACTTGCACTCCAAGTATTCTGTCTTGGTCCTGTTCAACTTGAAACCCTTAGACTCCAGGGTATGTCTCCAGACCTCAAGCCTCTCGTTAACGCCACCTCGCGTCTCATCAATTAGGACTATGTCGTATAAATGATTTTGTTTTTTCTTTTGGACGGTGGGGTTGTGGTGTTTGTGAAATATTGAGTGAGGTTCATTCGCATTATGCAATTACTTATGCATTAAAAAGTTCATCTTAGATGGTGGTTTGAATGAGATCGAGAATGGACATTTAGATATTGCTGCTTGAAGACATTTCTTGCCTCTAACCAACGAGAGAAACTACACCTAAGATAGTCTTAATGCAGTTTTCTGCATGACTGAAAATCCCCTTTTGTGTAATCATGTGAGGCATTCGTCTCAGGCATAATGCATTGCCACTCAAATTGCTAATTGGAGATGCCTTTGAATAGGTAGGGTTTTTAGGATTCTCGATGTAGTTAGTGCTGAAGTTTACTAGACTACGGATGATGAAACAAACATAAAGACAATCCTTTGGGTGGAATTTTATTAGGATTACCTGGATAGACGCTCCTTTCTATTACTTAGTAGTATCTAGATTGATACTCATTTCTATAAATTTTCCATGGGCTTTGGCTTCTGATCTGATAGAATGAGGCTTACTTCATTCATTAGCTACGCTTGTCTATCTGCTTTTGCTCTCCGGCAGTGGTAACGTTAGAATCTCTCTTCTTGTCGTATGACTAGAGTTGCAGTAGAATTCTTCTTGGTTCAGCTTTTCTGCAAGTTTAAAAGAATTGCTCAAAACTTGCAATAGTAACATATTTGACCCTTCTCTGATAATTCAAGTTTGTGTTCATGTCTCTTCTTTGTACGTGAATTTAATCAATGCATTGCGTTATATGGTTATCAACTCATTAAATTTATTGTTTCAGGAATACAAGGAATTGTCTAACAGATAAAAGTGTGTCCATGTTCATCTATAGTTCTGTCTTGCTTCCTTGTCTGTCAGTTGATACTGAGATGTACACATCAAGCCTAGGAATTAAAAAAACTTCAGTTATATATATATTCTCGTATCTGTGCCTTTGATGTTATTATGGAACTTATTAGATCTTCCTCTCTTAAGGGGAATGTGCAGACCTCTACTTGTGTACTCTTTTTCGACAAGAAGTCGTTTTCTTCTTCAAACTTAATATTGTAATTTTTATTGATGAAGAGCCTCTTATCGATAAAATTTACGCTCTGTGCTAAACTTACTCTATTATTCTTCTTCTCTGGTATAGATTTTTGAATTAGAAGCTGCAGCAATGTCTCCAGCATCTAGGTCCAAGCCAAAGGACAAAAAGGGTGGCAAGGAACCACCCAAAGCTGCTTCAAAGCCTTCAAGTGTAAATGCAGGTGCTGCAACACCCACTAGTGGATACAATCCTCTTTTAGGAACATTCCATACGCTTGAGACAGCTCCTGTGACTTCAAATGCTGCTCTTCATGTGAATGGTCGTTTCAGAAATATTGACGAGACAGATGACCATAGTGGGCACTCACTTGGAGCTAGCACTGAGTATGATTCTGTTTCCAATAATGGTAGCTGGTCTGGTGAGTCCGAGGACCATAAAGAGAAAACATCCAATCCTCCTCCGCGGCCAGAGGCAGTACCTGGCTCTGATAACGACAAGCGCGAAAAAATTCGTCAGAAGAATGAGAAGAAGCATCAACGTCAAAAGGAGAGACGAGCTCAAGAATTGCATGAAAAGTGCAGTGGCTATCTCATGTCGAGAAAGCTGGAAGCTCTTTCCCAGCAGCTTGTGGCTATGGGATTCTCTTCAGAACGAGCGACAATGGCTCTTATCTTGAATGAAGGCAGAGTAGAAGAATCAGTGTCGTGGTTATTTGAAGGAGGTGAAGAAGCAGATAAACATAAGGAACATAATCTTGATGGTGGGGGTAATCTGAAAATTGACATTTCAGAAGAGCTTGCTCGAATTGCAGACATGGAAATTAGGTATAAGTGCTCCAGGCAGGAGGTTGAAAGAGCAGTAGTTGCCTGTGAGGGTGATCTCGAGAAGGCTGGAGAGACTTTGAGGTCACAAAAGCAGGAACCTCATTCTGTGCCATCTAAGCCTGAAGAAAGTGGTGATCCTCCTACCGTGGGCAATGGCAAGCTTCCAGTTGTCAACAGTCAGAACTTACTTAGAGTACCTGTAAAACCTTCATCCAGCACAATATTGCCAAAGAGGGATGACAGAGACTTCAATTATACTAAAGTTGCAGCCACAGCAGGGTCTTCTGCGGATAATGGGAGCAAAAATATACAATCATTAAAAAAGGTTCAACCGAAACTGGACTGGGCCAAGCCACCGCAGGTGGTGGTGCCTGCTGACAAAAGGTGGCCAAATGCAGGATCGAATCCTTCTGTTTCCTATTCTTTGGCATCTCCTCTGCAGGCATCACCCTCATCTGCCAAGTCAGAAGCTCGTTATGTGGCTGTAGGAAATGAGTTGAAGAATCTACAGCTAGGAACCGTGAGAGAACCAGTCATAGTTATGCAACGACCCAATCAATCAATTAATCCTAAGCAGACTCCCACCTCAACTGTTAGCTCTTCTCCACCTGGAACTGCAGCAGGGTGGTTTCCTAACAATTCTATTGAAACAATGAAACCCAATGAACTGATGCCACATATTCCTGGCACAAGAAGCCTGAGCACAAATGGTGTCGGCACAAACCAGTTGTACAGCCAACTTCAGTATCAACAGCACCAGCAACCACAACAACTTGTTTCTAGCAATGGCTCACTTGAATCACCAGGAATAAGCCGGGGGAATAGTTTGTGGAATAGAACAGGTGCTCTGCAGACACAAACCCTTTCTCCGGCTTCCTCGCTTGGACTCTTCTCTGGGTTTGGAACCAATGGTACATCTGGATCATCATCTCCAGTGGATTGGAACAGCGGTGGTGGCTCAATGGTGCAGCTAGATTACGCCAACATAGACTGGAGTTTAGATCGCGGGACTTCATCATCGAGATTAGGTGGCATGTGGTCAACGACAAGCTCTTTTAGGCCAAACAATGCTCGTACATATGATTCATTTACCCCTGGACTTGGTGTTACATCTGCCATGAGACCTGTCCTGTCCAATGGAGGTGGTGTCTCAATTCCCGGATTGCAGGAAAGAGTTGCGACAGCGGAAACGTCTACTGGTGGTTCTCGGGAGTGGACTTCTCCATTTGAAGAGAGAGATCTTTTTAGCTTACCAAGACAGTTCGTTTCTTCCCCTTCACTTTAGGAGTGGTGAAGTGGAATTGAAATGAATAAAAAGGAGAAAGAAATGAAAGAGACCAGTAAATGTGCTTGAATTTGATGTTGGTGTTGGTTCTTATGATGCTATTTCCATGTTGATGTTTGTTATGATCATCTTAGTGGAAGAGCATCCCAGTCCTTTGGTTTATACTTGTTTCTTCCCTCTTAATTCCCCTGTTTCTGCCCCCAGCCAGCCTTTAATTCTCAAACATAAAGTCCTCTCAAGAACAATAAAAAGGAAACAAGAAAAATGTCTCCCTTTACATCAAGCTTGACATTTTAATTTAGGAGTCACTATTACAGCGAAATTAGTTCAAATTATTCATTTGCAGTAAGAATAAAATTACTAGCGACATTTGTAATACAATAGTATAGGAATAGTCCCAAGCATAGGGAAGCGATATTCGATATTAAAAAGTATTTTGCTCCCCACATTTACACAACAAAATGGACATTTCTCGAAGGGAAATTAGTTCAAATTATCCCGATCAATAGGAGTAGGAAATTCAAGAAGGTCCTTGTCCTTGTCGAACAAACACATTTCTTGCTCGTTCAAGTTGACGAACGCTTCCACTCCTCTATCTGGAGTATTCATCAAGATAAAGTTCTTGCTAAATTGACCAACATTTCCTAGACTTCCTTTAGCAGGTCTCCCCCATCCAAAATCTAGTTTCTCGTATTCGTACATTAATGTACTACTACAAAGGTACACATCACAATTCCTTTGGTTGAATAACTCTTTTCCTGTTCTATATGCATCTAGCATCTCTACAACCCACTCATTTTCTTCGAGATTATTTTTGCTGGAGAGGTTGTTTTTGTACTTTCTTATATCTCGTACTAATTTTGGCAACCTGAGGTCTCGTTCGTTGTTATATATTGGTGTAGAAAAGACAGTGAGAATATTCCCTATGGTGCTTGGTGGTAGCGGAGGTGAAATTCTTTCTCGAAGATTTGAGTATTGGATCAACTGAGATCGCTGAAATGAACCCGAGCTACCACTTACAGCAAAGGCAGCACATTTGTAGAGAAGTGCATTCACGACCTCGCTCCTTGTTGGATTTTGAAGTCCTGATTCATCAGCAATATAGGCTTTGAGAGCACTTAATTTCGAGTCAGAGAAAACAAACCTCTTTTGGATACAATCCTTGTTTTTCGACTCGATAACAGATGCAACCAAAGGACCATCGAATGGTGATGGAAATAGGGAATCCTCAGCAAAATATGGAGATATTTTTGCGTTTGGATTTCGAGTTAGTGCAGCCCAATCTCTCAAAAAATAGTAAGCACTACATGCATCTCCCACTTTGTGTGAAAGGCGAACACTAAGTAATCAAAATGGCTAATTTGGACTATAGTTAAGGCGCGATCAATACAACTATCCCAAGGTAAACCTTGACGAAATGTCAATTCTTTGATATTTGAATTTGGATGATGGATAACTTTATCCATTTGAGAACTGATTTGAACTTCAAAGAACTCAACTCCACTATCATCACAATCAATAGTGGCATTGTCTTTTAGACTTCCAGCCCAAGGATAGTAACAAGTTAAAGTTTTTGACACAGAGTTAGCTAAAAGATTTGGTAGTTGTTTAGGTCCATTTGGGATAGTAGCTACTTGATGTTTGGGGTAGAAAAAAACAAGGGGCATATAATTGTAAGGCCTTTGATCTAAAAGGGAAAGTTTGTGACATCTTTGAGTAGATGGGGTGGGAGAGGAAGGTTTGATTATTTTCTTGGAAATTGTTGATAGCATTTTTGATACACTCACCATCTTTACAAACCTTCACCAATGACTCCTTTTCCCCCCTAATAAAGCCTTGTGCTAATACTTAGCCAGATATGTGTACATACATACACAAATAAATAAAGAAACAAAAAGTCCATATTAAGCTTTCTCAACTTTCATCGAGTTCACATTAATATTAAAATTGGCCATGTATACGTGGAGTATAAATATAAAATACATGTTATTAAAAAAAATGACTTTTATAAGAAGATAGTGGTAAATACATATTGGCATTGGGCGGTTAAACCAAATCAAACCATGATAAGTAGATATAATATGGTATAAACGTTTGGTGCAGATAATGTTTTTACATAATATAATGGTTCTTGCAATGATGATATTTTTAGTTTATGTTAACTGACAATGTGAAGAATATTCAATGTGATTTGATGGGATATGACAGGTTACACAAGAGTATTTGTTTAGATTGCGGATCAATATTTATTATTTAAAGGTACAGACAGTTAACTTTTAATAGAATTGATTGTACAATTTATTTGTTGTATACTCTATATGGCGTAAAGATTTTTTGTCATTTCCTAATGAGATCTTCCACGGCAACTAGGCACGTTTATTTATTTATTCACATATATCTATTTCAAAGCAATTGTTAATTCAATTGTGTACTCTTGAGCAAACTCATTATAAGCAAGTACTTAAATTAAGTACTTATGGAGTATTATTTAAGTACTTGCTTTTTATGAGTTTGCTCAAGAGTACGCAATTGAATTAACAATTACATTGAAATAGATATATGTGAATAAATAAAACAATGTGCCGAGTTGCCATAATAAACAAGTATTAATACCTCTTACTTTTTTACATGAATAGGCTTACGATCTAACTCTTGTTATTAATCCGCATTCGAAAAATATCTTCCGGAAACTTACACAATATAAATAAAAAATGTAGAAGAAGTATAATTATATCCGAGCTTACTGAATTTACAATGTTTTCTTAAGTAACTTAATTCCCATCTACTACCCGAGGTTTATGATTATTTAGCGGTATTTCAAATACCACTATATCACGAATACAAATGGCGATAGTGAACACACTTACTCTGTTTTTGTAAGAAAATAATACAAAAACGAGAAGAGATTTCAGAATTTTCATTAGAAAAATCCGAAGGAAAGAGCATGTATTTATAGCCAATGTTTGGGTAAAAATCAAAGAGTTTCAACTCTTCCTTTAAGGCTGCAACTCAAAGTGGCTATTTTACGAAATGACTATTTACACAAATCGCCAATTTCAAATTTTAACGGAAAAATCAAAACGGAGAAAAATTAAATTACCATTACGGATGTGGTTTGATTCGGATTAAAAATATTAGATGTGGTTTGATTTGGATTAAAAAATATTAATTTAATCTTAATATTAACAAATAAATTTGGTCCAAAAAATTAATCAATCAATCAGTTCATTTGACTAGATCTAAATCCAAAAATAAAGTCGAGCCGAGCCGAGCGACGACGATGACGCGAGACTTGACCTCTTCTCAACTATTATATGAAGCAGTCAGTGAATTTTAGCAAAATATATAGAAGATCTGCGTAAAAAAATAACTTCTGATCGAATTAAATTGTTATCTTGAAATATAGTTGAATATAATTTATAATGTCTAATTGGGTATTTATGACACCAGTTCATGAGAATAAGATGATCATTTTGAATAAAAATCAAAACACATATATTCATCTTTGCATTATTAGCTCTTTCTGATGTAAAAATTGCATTGAGCCTTATTTGATTGCCCCCATTTAACCTGTACTCATATTTTTAAAATTATTTAACCTATACCCTAATTTTGAAACTTCAAATCCTTCAACCTACGAGCTCTTTCTTCCTCCTCTTCTTTTCCTAATTTTGACAGCATCGCAAAACCGGAGATTAAACTGGCGCCGTCGGCCATAACTTCAGATCAACATTCTCATCAGGGGATAAGTTCAAGTCTAAGCAAAAAATCCTCTTGCTGCTATTTGACTTCTTCAACACCGGTATAATTCTCTTTCCGACGACCGGAATAATCGTCTTTCCGAGTGCCGTCGACGTTTTATTAATTTCATCACAGTGACGCCAACATAAAGAAAACTCCATATCACATCACATATATATAGAACATCAACTGAAGTTTGGGAATATTAACAGAATCAACATCAATTGAAGTTTCACAAGCTTTGGAGAAACAATATTAACAGAATCAACATCAACACAAAATCTTAACACCAAAGTCTCAAGCATTGGCAGAATAAGATCGTTTTCGTCTGATCTTACATGACCGTTAAGTTCAGAATGTTCCAACTGAAGACTAACAAGTTTGGGAAACTAAAGTTTATTGTACCACAAACTGACTTCATACTAATTTGTCTTAAGTTTGCGCTACGAACTGAAGTTTTTTTGATTGTTTTTGTAAGTCGGGCCAAACTTCAGACGAAAATATTTGAAGTTTTACTTTGATAAGGTCACACTTCAGGCAAAAAAATTCTGAAGTTTAAACTTAAGACATAAATTCTTGCTATTTCAGGCTCCGTAAGTTACCCGAAAAGTAAGTACACTTATAATTTTTTTTGCAAAGCGAGTCTAAGTTAAATTGTGACCCAAAAACTGGGTATAGATGCAAATTCCCCCTTTCTGATCGCTTCGTCGTTGTGTTCTATTATTGATTGTACTCCATTTGGCCACTTTTGTTAGCATTATCTTGTTCAAAATTGGCCACTTTTGTTAGCATTATCTTGTCCAAAATTGTATATTAACTCCGCATACAACAATTGACTTCAACCTTTATTTGTTAGACAGATAGGTACGTCTATGGATTCAATTAACTATTGCAACACGGCATAAAATTTGCTTTTACCTTATTTAAAGTGATTTATGTTATATATATTAAGTGTAAAGAATTTTGTTACTATCAATTTATTATGTACATACACACACACGAGCCTTGAACCATCACCAAATATGGAGATACAGTAAGAAGTACACTGTCTGACCCAAAAATAGAATTTTCGGTCAAAGTCAATATTAAAAAGAGATTGGGCTACTGATAATCAAAATTACATCACTTTCTTAGTAATTTGAGGAATAAAATATAAAGAAAATAATAGACAAGGAAAGAAAACTCAAAATAGATTGGTAATCACTCCCCGAATTGCGGTTAAAACTTTTTGAATAAAGCAAAAGAATAATTGCATATATCAGTCAAGAATCAGATACCATTACAAATGAGGACTAGACCCTTATATAAGAGTATATAATTATAACGATTTCCTTACTTAATTCGGGCTTGCTAATGGAATTAATTTCCTTGATTACCCGTTACCATATATAATTGTAATGAAAGCATTAATGACTGAAGATTTTGCGTAACCACAATTAATGTCGATTTCCCTTCCTTATTTATAACAGATTCGTACACCTTCCCTCCTTATGGTCTTTATCCATTCCGTTTTTATTTCTTCTTTTCCAGTTCTTTTCTAGAGAAATACCGGGGGTATTTCTCCCGTGCCTTCTTGAATTCTTGAATTCACTTGATTGAGAGTGCCACCTGTCACCTTGATGTAGTCCACGTGTCATGCTTTTTTCCACCAATACAAATAGTCCCCCCACTTTCTGAATATTCGGAAAGTGGTAAGTATTTATGGCGGGAATTCTTTGCCGCCTTTTCCCGAGTAACATAATGCCTTTCTCAGAACCGATACGACATACATCATGTCTATTCAATGCTCAAGACATGTGCCCTTTGTAATTGGTTCTGCAATTTTCAGCGCATTTTTAGGGTTTTTCTGCGGCTGCATCAATCACGAAGTAACAGTTCCATGATGACGGTTCATAATGACCAACTCTGATGACAGTTGCTTTCTCCTATAAATACTTCATCTCACTAAATTTCGAAAGTTTCTTTTTTCTCTTCCTTGTATTTATCTTAATTCCCAGTTTTTCTTGTATCTCTTCATCTTTTCCTTGTATTTCCTCCATTACAGATGTCTTCACGTTCTCAAAATCCTTCTTCATAATTAGACCCACGTAAAGTGGTGATCGTTGGTGAACTTTCTCCTTTTACTGCCTCCACTAGGAGTAGGAGAGGTGTCAGACTTCATAGTTTAGGTTCACTATCCGATCGTAGTTCTACTCCTCAAAGTAGCACTGCTATGCCATATTCTTCTAGGGCTAGAACTTCCTTAACTCCTAGATCTTCCTCTAAGGGAGGGATCACAATGAACCCATGCGTGAACCTACTGTTTCTGAGATTGTCCCACAAGAGTTCTCTTTCGTATCAGATCGCGAAGCTATGAAAAAACAGGTTTCTTTTATAGCATCTCTTAACCCTGCTGAACATTACCCAAGCTTGATTACTCCAGGACTTCTTTCTTTGGTTCGACGTGAATGCCATTGGAATCCGGATTTTTCAGTATTGATTCCTGGTGCTAATCAAAGAATCACCTCTTACCATGCTGGTTTTTTCTTTGTTTACACCTATCCTTTTACTTTAGGGTTTGAACCTCCCATTGACTCTGTGATTATTGAGTTCTGTCACTACTTCAATATTTACCTCGGTCAAATAGGTACCATCATGTGGAGGGTAGTTGCTTGCATTCGCTACTTGTCGGGTTTAGTGTCCGCCCCTTTTACCTTTCGTCACTTGCTCTACCTATATTCTCCAAAACTGTTTCATGAAAGTGTCTTTTCCTTCGTGGCTAGAAGTAAAAAGGGTTTTAGTCAGCCCCAGGATAACCGTGACCGTGGCTGGTATGCTCGATTTGTTGCTGCCCCCACTCGTGGATTAGTGGGTGATGAAAATATGCCTTTCCCTGAAAAATAGAACTTTGCACGTAAGTGTTTTTGCCTTTTTTTCCCTTACTTTTCTTGACGTTTTGATTTTCTTTACATGAATGTATATTCATTTTTTCAGCAACCATGGAAATTTTTGAAGAAATTCCTGACTTCCGTGCTTGGGTAGAAAAAATGTTGACCGCTGCTCCCATGGA